AAAAAAAAAAAAAAATATATATATATATGTGTGTGTGTGTATATATATATATATATATGTATATATATATATATATATTCAGAATTTACAAGTAATCCTAGTTCAGGGAATGGGATCCACAGAAAGGTGGCACTGGTGATAATAACAGTACGTGCTCCCTGACAGAACGATTTTCATTTTACAGCTTGGAGAGACTGGGACCTGTGCTCCCTGGGTGAGGACAGTGTCCTAAGGGCTCCTTAGCTCTGGGTTAGACCTTTCTCATGAAGGAGCTAGAATCTGTGATCTAAAGAGAGGGGAGGCAAGAACCTGTTTGGCTCAGGGCTCGCCTGTCACTCTAAAGGCTGAACTTGGGCTCGCATCCACAGGTAAGTTTATTCATGGGGGGCCTGACTGTTCTTCCTTTGTGAGGATTAATCATTTATTAGCCCAGTGGGGGCAGGTGCCTTTTTGAGAACTGTCATTCTGGAAAGATACTGATTGAAGGAGGGCTCTGAGCATCTTCTCACCAGCTGGCAGCAGGAAAGGACGGCTCCAGTCCAGACAAGATGAGTTGGCAGTGGGCGTCTCGACAGGAGCCTAATGAAGAAATCTGGTAGCAGTGAGGCCCAGCATTACAAGCCCTCATATTTGGTCTTTCACTCCGTGATATCCCTCTCTCTGTCGGGGGGTGGGCGACAAAGGTGTCCATGGGGTTGTATACCTCCTACTGTGGAATTACATGTTCCTATAGCCAGTGGGCTCCAGGAACCTGATGCAGCGTCCCCAGGTCCCTGGGTGCGCTCCGTACATCACAGGTTAGACGTCTTAACTCCCTGCTTTCTCCTTCTCTCTCTCTCTGTCCCTCTCATAATTTGTTTCCAACAGGAAACTGCGTCCAGCTGCTCCAAGAGAAGCTCGAACTCCCTTGGGAGACCGTGTGTGGCCATTATTAGGGGTGATTGCTCGGAAGCTGGTTGTCATGGCACCGCGAGGCCAGGGCTGCACTCCCAAGATGCCCCCGTTTTCTAGGCTGTCTACATAATCACTGCAATGAGAGGCATAAACACGGAAAGGGAGAGGGGAGCAGCTCCCTTCTGGCAGTCATCTCCGTGCAAAGCGGGGCGAGGAGGGTCCATCTCGGCATGGGCCAAGCACTGCACAGAGGGACGCGGGTGTGGGCTGGTCACTGCCTCACTGTATCCTCACGGCTCCTGTGCATGCCTCTGTGCTCCCAGCTCCGGCTTTCTACAGGCAAACATTGCTCCTAACTTGGGGAGAGTCAGCAGTGTGCCCGAATGCTCCTGGAACTTGCATCCATGGAGTGGCCAGAGCTACCGTGTTGGAGTAGGTGGAGCCATTGCCTCCCATCCACTGGGCCCTGCGCTAGACTCTTTACGGGTGTGATAGTCCGTTCCACTCGCACAAGCTGCCGGCTTTACAGATGCAGAAAGTGTATTGGGAGACACATATCACATTTTACTGATGTTAGATCTTTTCTAAACGTCTCATTCATTCATTCATTCAGTATGCCTTAGTAGCCGTGACACATCAGAGAGTCATCTGGCTTTGTCACAGGCCAGGAAGAGGCAGAGCTAGGATGTAAACCTAGCTCTGGTTCTATAGCCCACTACTGTCCCCCCATGCTGCATCATTTCTCCTCCAGTCCCATGTTTAGCAAGGGTGACCCCTTCAACCTGGTGCTCACAGGCAGAGGGAGCCCCCATCTCCGAGGGCATGGTCCCGGTAAAATGAATTGAATTGGTCTAGGGCTTAAACCCCTGATTTGGACTTCATTAGGTGTGTGTTCTCACCAACCACAGAGAATTAACCAGAGCAGAGATGTCTCTTATGGACCTAACAGCAGGCACCAGGGGCGACGTGGAGAACAATCGTCAAATCTGTTGATCACCTTATTACCTGCTAGGCCCTCCCACTGGCTCCAGACATAGCATCATCACTTCGAGGCCTCTGGGACCCGAAGGCTCTGGGCTCGGATGCAGAGAGAAGACACATTTTGCAATCACTGGAGAAAATAAAGGCTTTATCCCTCAGCAAGCACTTTCGCTGAATGACTTGGTCATGGGAAAGAAGGGACCGTCTGTGCCCTTTTCTCATTTTGAATTTGGCTGAAGAGTAGGAGATCTTTCCATCTCCACTGTTGCTCACACCCTGCGCTTCGGGTCACCCGCCTCGGGTGATCAGGAAACAAGGGAACCATAGCATGTTGACTTCCTGAAGGCCAGACTCCACCAGTGAAATGCCTGTGCTGTTCTCTGCTCTCCCGGGACCTGGCCTATCCAGCTACCTCCCACTTGGGCCCAGTGAGGCAAAGACGGGAAGCCTCTCTAGGCACTGTCTATCAACAGCTTCAACCACGGGCTTTACACCTGCGTTTGAATCTCGGTTCCACCCTTGATTCAATGCTTGACTTCATGTAAATTACTTGCTTTTCTGAGTCTCCGCTTTCTCATCTGTAACTCTGAGCTCCTGGATTGTTGTGATAAGAATAAAACATTCATAAATAAATACGGACTGCTTACCGTGGGCCAGGCATTATCTTGCTGAATCCTCACAACCATCCAATTATGCAGGTTCTGTTATTGTCCCCATTTTATAGAGGGAGACACTGAGGCTTAGAGAGAGAGGTTAAGTTCAAGTCCAAGCAGTTAAGTTCACACTGGGTTTGTCTGACCCTAGAACCAACACCACTGGCCACAACAGCATGCAGGGTATCCCCTGCTTTTCAAATGTTTGCCTTTTGCCACTTTGCTTTTACAAAAGACCTACAATAGTATCTGTTTTCGCTAACCTAACTAAAAGAAATCCGAAGAGAATTTTCACTTTGAAGACCCGAAGCCTTCATTTACACACAGTTTAAGAATCACAGCACTAGTGTATTGTGAGACACATACCACATTTTATCTGATGTTAGACCTTTTATGAACATGTCTCACTCATTCATTCATTCAGTATGATTTAGTAGCCATGATTCATCAGGCACTATCCTCAGAGTGCTTCTGCTCCTTAATAACCTTCCTAGTGGGCTAGCGACCATGTGTTGTAGTAAGACAAATGTGTAGTTTTGTGCTGTTACAATGATATGAACACAGAAGATTCTCAGTAAACAGGGACTGAAAAATGCTACTTTGGGGCATACCTAGGATACACTGAGGATGACGTTTGCCATCACAGTTCATTTCAACATCCAACACAATGTCCAGCATAAACGCTATTTGGTCAGCATTTTCTCTCTTTGATGTTGGGAATCTAAATTTCACATTCAATTTAAAATGAACTTTATATTAGATACCTTCCATAATTTCACATCCTCTTGTCCCACCATGGTTAAGTACACTGAAGCAGTAAGTGCATCTTATAAGGCTGTCATCCCATTGTGTTTAGCACAATACCTTGCACACACTTATTGACAGATTGCTTGCTTGCTTTGATCTCACCACCTTTTTCCTAAGCTTGATGATCCCATTTATCTCAGATGTAACCCTTCAATGACAATTTCACTACATTATAGGGGTTTTCAAATGACACCAAAATTTTAAGATTAAGTCGACCTGGGGATTAAGGATGACCATCTAGGAGATAAATCCTATTTAAATCCTTATGTTCAGGTTAAAGATAGAAGATAAAAGCAAGTATCATTTTAAGCCCCCTGGGGGTGAGCATTCTCCTGCCCTCTGCTGCCGTCGGGCTGTGCTTGATTATGATGGCAGGCCAGCAGGTGCTTCGAGTAATTCAGCAGATAAAGGGACGTGCACGCATGGGGCTGGAAGCTGCTTGAGTGGACAGCAGATTTCACAGCTGAGTTATTGATGCCACCTACCAAGCTGTCAAAATAGAATTACGTGAACTGCAAGAGGGGCTCAAATTAGCTGATATACTTAAACATGTGTCAATTACACACGAACGAGATTCCCCCTTCCCTTCTTTATCCTCCAGTGCTGGGCAAGTACTGAAGGTGGCCGAATTCATTATATGAAACAAGAAATAAACCCATGATAAACCATGATCTTTATCAGTGTATTAGATTTATCTTTTCCGGGCCTTGATTTCCTCAAGCTGTAGAAAGGAAGAAAGACTCTGAACTCAAAGAGTTGTTTTTTTT